TAACAGCGAGAACTTAGCTCGCTTTGACCTCTTGCTTCATGTGTAACACTAGGCAGAATCCAAGCATTTATCCTTGTTTTATGACTGGATGATCTAATGATGTTGCAGAGGACTGGACTAAGGAAGAGTCTTTGATAAAGTGTTAACAGGATTTAAATTCATAGTTGGGTGATCACTCCCAGTAAACTCTCAAGTTACCTGCTTAACTGGGTAGTCTAGTAAAATTAGATACTGGCAGTCATTGTATACAGCAGGAAAAATTTGATAGTCTCTATTTTGTGAAACATTACATCCAGACTGTTTAAGCTTCCTTATATAGGTATATAACTCAATAATTGTTAATGACCAGCCATTCATGGATATACATGCTTTTTTGCTAAAGAGGCATTAAGTGTCAATTTGTGTTTAGGATGATGAATTAATGTTAAGATACCTTTGTAAAGGCTTTGTAAAGGGATGAGCTCAGATGATAGAGCACTTTCTTAGAATACATCAGGCCTTTGTTAAATCCCCAGCACCATATAAACTTACAGTTGCTAATTTGTTAAGAATAAAATTCCTTCTTTTTATAAACTAGGTGGATGGAGAGAGAAAGAAAAGGCTAGAGAAGAGAGTTGGGGTCCACCTCGAGAATCAAGGCCATCAGAAGAACGTGAATGGGATAGAGACAAAGAGAAGGACAGAGATAATCAAGATCGAGAGGAGAATGACAAGGATCTTGAACGAGATAGGGACAGAGAGAGAGATGGGGACCGGGAGGATCGTTTCAGAAGACCCAGGTTAGTAATGACCTACTGTGGTAACCGGTTTCTCTTAAACTCTGTTGTGCATTCCAAAACACTTGAAAAATAATATTCCGGTTTCATTTAGAGTGAGAGTGAGCAACACTCCCTAGAAAATGAGACTATGGGGGTTTAACCTGTTGGCTGCTTGTAGGTTACATAACTGGTAAAGGAACCAGTCCAGATTTCTACCACTCCTACTTCTTAGAGCAGTGGATCAGCTTAGTTGGTTTTAATCCTTTTTTTGTTTGTTTTTGTAAAGATGGAATCCTTCTGTGTAGCTCAGGTTGACCTGAAATTAAATTTTTATCCAATCCACTACCTATGTTGAGATTTATAGTCAGTTGACAACACACTCAGTTTTTATTAGTGGTGAAAGTCCTAGCTTGTTCCTTCTGCATAGTAAAAAAAAGCTCTCTATACTAGTAGCATGGCAGCCAGCAACTTTTTTGTGGCTAGTGCACTAGCTCTCTTGGAATATGTGTTGTGCTATTGTAGGATCTTTAGGTAAATAGCTACAGGTAAGGTCTGTTTGCTTTAGGTAAATAGCTACAGGTAAGGTCTGCTTTCTATGCCCCAGATACCAGGTTAAGGTGTTTGTTAAAATTCAGATTAATAAACTGGATTTGGTCTGTTGCTTTTTTTTGTTTTGTTTTTCTGTGGGGGGAGGGAGTGTTGGTTTCTTGGAGGAAGTGTTGAGACAGGGCTTTATGTAGCCCTGGCTATCTTGGAACTCACTCTATAGACCAAGCTATCCTGGAACTCAGAAATCTGCCTGCTTCCTAAGTGCTGGGATTAAAGACATGCACTAACAACACCACCCAGATGGTGTGTTACTTATAATTATCCATATATTCTGTCAAGAACTGAGCTTGTCACTTTAAATGGCCACAGGGATGAAGGTGGCTGGAGAAGAGGACCAGCAGAAGAATCTTCAAGCTGGAGGGATTCAAGTCGCCGTGATGATAGGGACAGGGATGACCGTCGGCGGGATAGGGATGATCGTCGTGATCTGAGAGACCTGAGAGACAGAAGGGATTTAAGAGATGATAGAGATCGGAGAGGACCTCCCCTCAGATCAGAGCGAGAAGAAGGTAGAGATATTTTGTCTGTTGGAATATTGGAAAACTGCTTGTGGCATGGTGAGGGCTTTATAATTGTCTTTTAAATTAATATGAACCCTGATGATTTGAGTAAATTTAGTGTACTTGTCCGGTTGTGATGTAAGGTCATCTGTAAGGTGAGTGTAGCAATACACTAAATGATAGGCAGCAGAAATTCATATTAATGACAGTGGAGACAGTATTATGTGAGGTCCTTGTCGATGAACACAAGAGTATAAATGTGGAGCCATTAGAGCTGGTGATACGGCTAAATGAAAAGGGGCTTTGTGTTTTCTCCTAACAACTTGATTTCAATCTGGGGGACTCACATGGTAGCAAAAGAAGTCACTCCCTGAAAGTTTTCTCTGACCTCTACAAAATCTAGTGACATTGAAGTGTCCATTGTACTTAACTTTCTTCACATGCTTTTAACAGTTTGCTTAGCAGAATCAGAAGAATATTAAAACTAATATCTTAAAGTCTTACACTTTATAACTCATTTGATAAAATTAAAGAGCCAAAAATCTTTTAACATAACATTCTGATTTTTGTTATCCTGTCTTAGGTTTATGACCATTAAAATACTTCCAGTTTTCAACTATGTCAGCAAGTTCATATTTTAAAGATTTTGGGCAGAAATGACACAATAATTTAAATGTGGGGCTTTTAGTGTGATTCTGCACTTTTCCAAGTAGTTTCAGGCATACATTTCTTAAGTTTCTCTTTTGTTTATTTTGAACCAATAAATAGTTCAAGCCTACACTTAAAGATGTTTAAACTTTTCTAGCAAGCTCTTGGAGACGCACTGATGACAGAAAAGATGACCGGACTGAAGAAAGGGATCCACCTCGTCGTGTTCCTCCCCCAGCTCTTTCAAGAGATAGAGAAAGAGAGAGAGAACGAGATGGTGAGAAAGAGAAAGCATCCTGGAGAGCTGAGAAAGATAGGGAGTCCCTTCGTCGTACTAAGAATGAAACTGATGAAGATGGATGGACCACAGTACGACGTTAAGTCCCAAGATGATGGAGTCAAACTTGTGGCTTACATAGGTTTGATCACATTCAAGGATTATTATACTTGTGCTTCAACCAGTCTAAATTGAATTCTTTAATGTTGTCTCACCATAACACAAAAAAGCATGAACTTGTATTAATCATATATAATAGATTGATCATGCACTGTATTTACAGGAGGTTGGAAAACCATGCCATTTTCTGGAACTTAAGGTGTTACATTATTTCATCAATCATTTGTTTAAAAAAAAAACTAAAAAATAAAAATGTGAACCCTTCAGGTGTAAACACCTTATCTTGGTATACAATTGATCTTTTTGTTTTGATTTTGAAGTATCAGATATTAATTTGGAATAAGGTAAGGTTCTCTTGAAACATTTGAAAACCCTTTAAGCCAACTGATCTGACAGCTTTCCCATCAGAAGTGGGAACATACCTTCTTAGGTACTTACTGTTAACTACATTTAGGCAGTTTATAGCTTCTGATCAGTGTAGTAGACATTACAAACACTGGTTGTAATGGGGTTTTCTGTAGACTTTACTTGAGAGAGGTGAGTATAAAGCATTTTTTAGTCATCATCATGACGATGCTGCTCAAGTGCAGATCCAGAACAGTACAGCTTTGGGTTCCTAGAACATTTGGTAAACTGTTGTGGGTTTCTTTTTTTCTGTTGCCAAAAGAAAACTGCTTTTCCACTAATTCATGCCTTTCAAGCATTTTAAATATGACAATATTTATAAATGTGTGGTTTGGAGGAATTGTTTAAATTCTTTTTCCTAATTTTCTTTCTTCAGGATAGATTATTTCAACAAGTAATTTGTAGTGATGACTGTGTTGACTTCAATTTTGGAGTGTAGTAGCTGTGTTAAAAAAGAGTAGCCATTTGGTCTTATTGAAGCCAACACAGAACTTGCTGCTGTGTTTTTTCTTTGGTGATAAATAAAATACTTACATAATTGGTGTTAGTGTTGATTTGTCAGTTATGTTTCTGTGAATTTTTATCAGTGCTGTTAAAGTATGTCATTGTTAATATCAAAAGAATAACTTATAGAGTAACACAAAACGCAAATAGCTAACAAGTTTGTGAAGTGCCCTTGTTTTTGGAAACATCATTTTTACCACCTTGGGTTTCATCCCGAATTAGGGAGAAAAAAACCAATAACATAGTTGTAGAGGATTTTTGCCACAAACTTGTCTGTGTAAGCCTATAAATTTTACTAAGTAGTGGTTTAAAATACTATACTGTTAAAGCTCTCAGACCAGAAGAGATAGTACTGATTTTCTACTTTGCTACCAAGGATTGAAATTTCAAACATGGAAGTTTTCTTGTGGCTACAGGGCTCACTCAGTCAAAACAAGTAAAAGTACTTACAGACACTGTTTTTGTTTTTTTTTTTTTTGTTTCTGTTTTTGTTTGAAAGACCACTGGTTTTATTTGGGGCAGTAACCTGTTTATGTATATTTTCACTAGTGAGCCAGGTGCTGATAGGATGCTATAGATCACAGCAAGTGATTCTTTTGATCAGCTACATTTAGATGAATGCACAAGATTGGAGAGCAGGTTTTTCTGCAGAACCCAGCCTTGCAGCTCATTTGGGTTTCCAGATATTTTCTGCTTTTTGTTCTGGGAGAGAACCCAGAGAAAACAGGGTGGGGGTAGAAGTATCTGATGCTTTTGCTTTGTGGTCTAGCTCATGGTTCCTACTATCACAGCTCCTTCCACTGCCACTCCACCAGCATTAAACAGGTTAAAGGAAAGCTGATTAATCTTCTGATGTGCCAGGTGAGCCCTGTGGCTTCTGCAGTTGTAAACAAATGGAGCCTTAAAGCTTCTATAGCTGTGCTTGAAGGTAGAGAGAACCCTTAGAAGAGCTACATTAAGCTTATCTATAGAGTGCCAGCCAGGATCAAACATGTCTGGGATATTAGTCAAGAACCACCAGCGACACAGGGCTTTTAATACCAGAATTTTCATGGCCAGTTTTGGCTGGTGAACCTCAGTCTTAATGTTTTTCCCAAAGACACTTTGGCAAAGTTGTATCTATAATAGAACTATGAGACAGCAGAGGGTATGTTATTAAGAAAACTCAAGACAACAAAATTAACCTGAAATAAATACATTTCTGATAGTTTTGAAATACATGGTTTTAGTTTTGTAATACATGGTTTTGGTTTAATATATCTAACAAAAAGTTCTAATCAAAGCCATTTAACTTCTGTAAAGGACTTGACAGGAAAAATAAAGTACAAAAAAAAAAAGCTGTTAAAATTAACAAGTTTGGATAGACAAATGCAGGCTAAACCACAGCACCACCTGTGCCTCTGCCCATGGTGAAGCTGTTACAATGCTGTGCTCTTTGTGGTCTAGCCGGATCCACAGTGCATTCTTAGGCAGAAACCAGCTTTATCAAAGCATTACATGAAACTTAGGGTTTTAAGTTTTCATTTTTGTCCCTTTAATAATGGGTATTGATCCTAGGGTTTTGTGCATTCTAGGCAAGTGCTCTTATCATTGAGCTATACCCATGTCCTAAACTTGGATATCTACTGTAAACATTTTTGCAAAACCCTTTGCAAAACATTGCATTCCAAGGATTGCTTAGCCTTTCCTCTGCCTCCTGAGTGTCAGGATTAAAGGACTGATTATTTTTAGGGCTAAGTTTATTTGCTCTAAAACACTAGAAAAACAAGTACTTTTTTTTGCTTGCACACTTTCAGTATATGTTAACTGGGAAACAGACTTGGCATGGGTTGGAGAACACTCTGTGGGATACAATTTTATGTGGACATGGAGGTCAGAGGTCAAGGGTTGCCCTACTCAACCATACTATTCAAGGTGTTTCTTTGAATCTGGAGTTTTCCATACCTGGAGCTAGTGAATTCCTTGCTAGTGAATCCAGGCAGAGGGCCCTGCCTCCCCAGTGATGCAACCACAGCTACCTTTGGCTTAAATTACCCCAAATTTGCAGATGAGTATGGAGGTCCCAACTTCAGATGACCACCTAGTTTATGAGATACTTTTGATGCAGACCTGGAGCTCATCCATGTAGCAAGGCTGGCCTCTGCCTCAGCACTGGGGTTGTAGGCACACCACTATTCCCTTATTTTTATGTATGTATTGAGTCCTCCGTGTTTAGAAGCACTTTCTTGGCAGCTATCTCCCTGTAAATATAACACCTACCTAACAGGATATTTTCCAGAGCCCTCTCAATACCACGGAACAGGAATGCCAGTTTCTGCAGCCTTTAGTTTTAGTAAGATGCCAAAAGTTAAAAGTTAGCATTAGGTACATGTGTTCGTGGTTCAGCTAATGTACTTACATACTGGCACCATACATACGTGCCTTGGGAAATGTCTGATGGGATTACAGCAATTCTGACTTGATCTTGCTTTTGATATTGAGAATACCTTTTTGAAAAGGCAGATCAGTTAGAGGATGCGAATTTATGTTGACTTGAAAAACTTCACCTCAAAACAAGTGGTATTTTAGCAAAATAACGAGGAACATGGTTTTATTAAGTTTAGGCCCAGAGAATGTGGGGTTGTAACTAACAGGGATAGCTTTCTTCCTTGCTAAGAATGTCCTCCTTTTTACCGATAGGGCTCACAGCTGTCAGTATTTTCACATTTCTCTTTTATACAGAAAGCAAATGAAAGGCAATACTCCCAGTATTCCTAGCTAAATCTGACTATTGAAAGCTTTATATACTTAATCTCTTGGCTGATATTTGCAGATAGTGGTGTTGATGCATATCTGAATTTATCTTAATTCACCTTTACCTTTGTCTCCTCTGTCTAGATGTCAGTTTTGTGCCATATTCCAGCATTCAGTATGATGGGTTTACAGGAGTACTGGAAAGGGTTAGGAACTTTTGCATGAAGATATTTTGGGGTTCTGGAAGCAGACAAGGGTCTCTCAGTAATAGTGGGACCACCAAGCGGGAGGTTATGGTACTTGTATCCAACAGCAATTATTACAGCCTTGAAGTGGTGTTTATTCGAGTACACCCTCTGTAAATTGGAAGGTAAATAGCCCAGAGTAGAACCCTTTGGAACTGAGTTATTGCATTATAGTTCCCCATTTTCTATTTAGGAACCCTGAACTTGAGCAATCAAGGTGGGTTAACACTGCTCTATAAAGGTTTCCTCCTTTCTGAGGAGGAAATGTCTTAGCATCAGACACAAAGAATTGGACCATCGGGTGGTGCATAGAGAAAATGCTAAATAGGAGTTACAGGGGAGATAAATGGATTCATAATACTGTCACTGTATAAATACACGTCTCTTAAACAGCACCATTTCCAAATATGTACACGATATGATTAAGCCTTGGCACAATTTTAAGGGTTGGAAGGCCTACTTGCTAATTCAGTAGAATACCTGATGCACAAAAGGATAAGGAACTGTATTCTACCTGCTACAGATTGTGCCTTCAAACCTCCCATCTAGGACAGAAACAAACAACGAGGAGGAACACCCTCTCAATACTGGGAAGTATACTAAATTGCTTTACCTGCAATTAGAATGACAAACTAAAATAAATAAATTGCATCAAACAATAAAATAGTCATTTTTCCCGACATTCCATACAATTGTTAGTTTTACACTCAGTTCAGAGGCTATTAAAAATACTCTAGACCTAATAAAGTGCCTCCATTCATAAAACGAAACATCCAAGATAAGAGACAATTTCATACGGATGCGCACCTAAAATAGGCCGACGTATACAGTAAACAGCGCCTCATTCACCGCACTTCAACCAGTGGTACACCCGCACAGCCCTCACCGTTCTGGATGCGCGTTTTAGAAACTAGGGACAAAATTCAAGATTTCAACGTCAGAGATCGACCACACCACAAGAAAGTGCTGCGCCCCTGCGGGATCAAAAACCAAGACGACTTCCCAAGTTGAGCCAAGGGAGAGGAACGCAGGTTTCAGGTGTACGCAGCTCGATGCAGCCTGCTCCTAGCGCAGCTTCTTGCTGGGCAGGCTGTCCTTGTTGCTGCGCGGCGGCGGACGGACGGTGGGCGGTGGCACTTTGGAGAGCGGGCAATACTTGATGGTGTGTGCGTTGTCGCCGCTGGCGCCGCACAGGGGGCACGTGTAGCGGCGCAGGACCGGGCACAGAACCCGGCCGTCCGGGCCCTTGAGGATGTGTGTGGTGTAGAGCGCCACCGCCTCCTTGTTGTTCCGGCAGAACACACACACCTGAAGCTCCGGTTTCAGCAGACGCGCGGCGGTCGCCCCGGAGGCCGCGTGCAGACGAGGCTCAGCAGCCCACGCAGGGCTCGGCTCTTCGCGCGGCGTCACTTCGGCCGCGGAGACGGCGGAGGCGGAGGGCGCACAGCCCAGCAGCACCGCGGCGGCGCGCCCTGCAAACGGGTTCAGCTCAGCGAAGCGCTCCTCCAGCAACCCGGCCTCAGCGGGGCGGGCGCACAGCTCTAGCGCGCGCAGTTCCAACGCGCCGCCCAGGTAGCGGCCCCCGGCCTCCGGCTCATCGCCGTCATCATCTTCGTCGTCCTCGGGCGGCCCCAGCGTGGGCCCCGCCGCCGTGGGCCCGGGCCCCTCATGCGGGGAGCCGCGGTCGCTAGCCCTGGTGATGAGCGTGGCTAGCCCCAGGTAGTCGTTCCAGGAGCTGAAGGGCTGCGGGTGCACCGGGCCCGAGGCGCTCACGTAGCGGGCGCTGGGCACGAGCGCCATAGGCGCGGGGGCGCGGGCGCGGCGGGGCGAGCGTGGCGCCCAAGGGAAAGCCTCCATGGGCCGGCAGCGGGCCGCGCGCCTCCCCGCCGCCGCCGCCGGCAAGGGCCGGACGGAAGGGACGCAGGAGCCTGCCCGCTGGCCTGCCGCAGGGTGGGGTAGCCTGGCTTCCTTTTATCGCTCCCGCTTTCTCCCGTGCCCCTCCTCGCTGTCTCGGCCCTGCCCCCTGCGATCCTCCGCCCGGGCCACTGCGCCCGCGCCCCCGGACGGAGGCGGAGCGGAGGCGGGCGCGCGCTCTTCTCCAGCCCCGCGCGCTTCCTGCGCCCCGCGCGCTGCGCCCACCTCACCAGCTGCGGGGCGCCTGGCATCCTGCGAGGGGGCGGGTGAGGCGCCGCCTCGGGCCCTGGCGTTCAATGGCTGTCGACCTGACTCCGCGGGCGCCGGTCGGGACGCTGATTGGTGGCGACTGGGGAAGGGGCGGGCGGCGCTTGGGGAGGGGATGGCTGTGCAGAAAGGGGCTGGATGAGGCGGTGGCGGGGACTTGCTTTTGCACGAGGGTGGAGACCTCAACCGGTGACCTAGCTTGGTTTTTTTGTTTTTGTTTTCCCTGCGGGGTATTGAGGATGCTGGTAGCACAGATCGCAATGAAGCCGCTGGGATGCATGCATCCACTTGCAGCTTTGGCTGGACCCGGTTTATAGTTTGAAACCACCACTTTCCCCTGGCTTTTTATTATCATCAACAAGAAAAGCTGTGGGAGGCAAGGCTAGGCGCTAACTCCCATAAAAGCCCAACTAGAGACCCAGTGACTTCAGTTGGCACAGCGCTCTGGAGCTCTTTTCACAGGGTGAAGTCCTCCCACAAACCTTGAGGCTCAGGGAGGAAGCTCACGATTTATAAAGTTTATATGGTAGCGAGTAGTGGAGGATCACAGCAGGCCCAACAGGTGTTCAGAAGCTGGGGCCGTAGGCTGTTCACTTAGGTAGAGGCGACAACTGGGCTAGAAATTCTTACTACGGGCCAGGGCCAGTTTGTGTGGAGCTCCTCCTCCGGGTGCTTATATAAAAATCTAGTGTCTGTGGAACTTGAAAAACAGCATATTCTGTGCTATGAAACAGGTAACATTTTCTCTTTTTGGTAAAACCCTGGAAAATAAAGGACTTGTTAGGAGAGAAAGAGTTAGTCTTGCCCTTCCCTGGAAAAGAGGCAACTTAAAATGATAAACACCAACAACCTCAAAAAATAATTTGAAGCTAGGAAAAGGCACTGAGGGCTATTCTGGAATGTGACCTAGGATGAGGGACAGAAAATGCCTTCTCTTTGTTGGCTTGGCAGGGGAGAGAGCTGATTTTGCTTTTCCCACTCTGTGTCAATGGAAGTGTCAATGGAAGCAAGATATAGGACCTCTGATGCTATCAGTTTTCTTTAGGTGGTAGGCCACATTCACATGTTTTGGCTTAGATTTTTTACAAACCTACTCTACTAAGGGTTCTTAAACACCTCAAGCTCCCTTATAGCTAACAAAAGATTGGAGGGGAAGAAAGGTTAATAGGACAAGGGGGTCATAGACGTGTTTAGAAGTAGTTGTTTGGGGGTGATTCCAATCTTTGTTGTCAGTATATCAGCAATCCAGTTCAAAAGTGTCACCAAACATAATCAGTAGCAGCAGATCAATCCAGAAGAAACCACGAGGCTCCAAGAATTGGCACTAGTCCATGGAAGTAAGCCACCAAAATATGAGAATTTTTTTTGGCAAGCTACTCTCTATGAAATCACAAAAAATGAACATCAGCAAAGAGAGAAAGGCACAGCAATGCCAGAGCATTGTCAGTGAAGACCAGTGTCAGCCAACAAAGTCCAATGAAGACCAGTAAGGCGTCACAATGAAAACCACAGCGTCGTCCACTGTCTGTTGGGTTATACTTATACTCTTTCCAAACATCATGTGTCCTCTCAAGAATCCGTTTTAGCAAAACATCACATGCCCTTTCACCAGGCAGCTTCCAGAGAAACACCACATGTCTGTTCTTAGTAAAACATCCTCTCATAAGACAGTTTTCAGAAAAATGTCACATGACATAACTGAGCCTCCAATGAAACCAGAAATTTCCGCTTCACACATGTCTTGCTGTGCCTGGCAAAGGATGCTCAGAACTTGTTTCTGGTTTGGATTAGTGTTAGGATGAATGTATGGGTGAAACAGGTCATTTGTAAGAGGAATCTTTGGGATCATCTCATCTAATCTTTATGAGTAAAGAAAATGAGACCCTAAGAAGAGATTCTTGAAGAGTTCTTGAAGGTCAAACAGTGACTATGTGACAGTCAGAATCAGGATTCAGGCCAGGTGACTCCCCAAACACCACAACACAGAAGGTTTTTTTTTTGGGGGGGGGTGGTATTTGCATCAGTTGTTAGCTGGAAAGAAATAAGTTGAAATGATGTAGCTTTGTTTGAGCCTGTAGCCTTGTGCTTTTTCCACCCAGCCACTTTGTTCCCTGAAATAATGACCCTCTGACTTCTTATATAAGAATAAATGTGGGGCAGTGGTGGTGCACGCCTTTAATCCTAGCACTTGGGAGACAGAGCCAGGTGGATTTCTGAGTTTGAGGCCAGCCTGGTCTACAGAGTGAGTTCCAGGACATCTAGGGCTACACAGAGAAACCCTGTCTCAAAAAAAATTTAAAATGTTTAAAAAAAAAACCCACCGGGCAGTGGTGGCACATGCCTTTAATCTCAGCACTTGGGAGGCAGAGGCAGGTGGATTTCTGAGTTCGAGGCCAGCCTGGTCTACAGAGTGAGTTCCAGGACAGCCAGGGCTACACAGAGAAACCCTGTCTTGAAAAACAAAACAAAACAAAACAAAACAAAACAAAACAAAACAAAACAAAACAGATTCTACATAAGCTTCTGCCTGCAGGGAGCTGTAGAGAGCTCACTAGAGACAGGGACAGAACCTGAAGCAAGAAAGGGACTTCTGTTCTGATCAACTGTCAAATTAGGGCTTGAAGATATGTGTTTCATGTTCTTTCTCATGTCCTAGTTTCCAATGTTTGGTAGAGACCCGAAGGCAGGCAGAGATTCTCTATACTTGGCAATGTAGTTCCTTTTTAAAGTTTGTGTTGAACTCAAGTTCAAAATCACCCTTTATCCCCATTCCACGCCATCCCTCACCACCAACACCAAAAATACTGTCTCCCACAGAGGCCAGCAGGTTTGCTGACAAGGAACTTGAGCTCTTACCACAAGCATGGTGGCCCCCAGAGTGGTATAAAGATTATTATTCTATAAATGGAAAATTCCACTCTGTACATCTGTTTATGCAGCCTGCATTCTTTCAATGTATGCAAAATTTGGAGAAGGGGAATTCTATTCTGAGAAAAACTTCAACAAACAAAGTTTAAACCTGGTTACTATGTCTGCTTCCTCTGAGATAGGCTAAAGGAAACAAGAAACAGGACTTTTGCGTTCCTCTGTATGTTTCTTTCTTTCTTTCTTCTTTTCTTTTTTTTTTTTTGTTTGGATTTTCGAGACAGGGTTTCTCTGTGTAGCCCTGGCTGTCCTGGAACTCACTCTGTAGATCAGGCTAGCCTCGAACTCTCCAACTCAGAAATCCACCTGCCTCTGCCTCCCAAGTGCTGGGATTAAAGGCGTGCGCCACCACTGCCCAGCCTCTGTATGTTTCTTAGTCCCTGGATTGAGTGAGAATAAAGTTTAAAAAATTATTATTGTGTTTTTGTGTGCTCTTGACAGCCCAAGTCTAAAATGTTTATGTGAGTAAGACCAAATGCCTTTTCTAGTTCCTGCAGCCTCAGGGCATGAGTGATGGTATAGAGAGGTCCTGGAAGGATGTAGGAGTGTGAGCATCCTGGAACACAACTGCTTCTCACTGCCACCTTTACTCATTCTCAAGTGTTACATAGGTGTTTGACCCAGAAAGAAAGTCTAAACATGGAGGAAAAGAACATGAAGTCCTTTTTAAATGTCCTTAGGTGCACACATGGCTTCTACACAAAGGGAGATTTTGCCATTAATGATTTTGGAAACTCCAGAGTGGGTGACTGCTCTACATCTGGGCTAAACAAACATTTACTTTTTGTCACTGAACATAGGCCTTAGCCTGGCCATGAACTCTTCAGCTCTCTCTGAGGCAGAGCAGATAATATATCTCCCAGTATCTCCCATGGAGTTGAACTGCCTGTATTTCACTTTCCAAGAGTCTAGAATGCAGTAGACAGAAATAGCCAGACTGTGAAAGTTTTTGTTTTGTTTTTCAAAAAATAATACATCCGTAGGAGGCAAGAAGACAGGTGGACATAGACCTCATCTCAGCTCCCTTCTAAAGTGTGCTTGGCTGGCTAGATGGAAGGCTCTAGTGGGCAGGGGTGGGGGACTGTTTGTGCTATGTTCCTCTCTCCATACACCCCTAGCCTGACTGTTTCCTTTGTTGGTTGCAGAACTGAACCATAAGAGGCTGTTTACAGACTAGATGGACTGAGTTCTCCAGAAGTGTGTAGTCAGCCCTGGGAAATGAGGCAGTTTGTTCAGGCACTAGGAAGCTAGATATACTGTTAGTTGGGCAGTGGGTCCTCACTAGCCTTTCTGCCAGGCTCTGAGGAGTACCTCAAAGTGCTTTTTCCTATCTACTTTCCTGCTGTAGGCTTTGTCGGCAGGTCCAAGTCAGAGGTACTGGAGGAATCTGTTTGAAGGGCCTTGACTTTGTCCATGCCATAACTCTGGCCAAGTTTTGGGCCTTGCCCTCTGCAACTATATGGAATCTTAGAGCTGGACATAGTGGAGACATTCCTGGGTGAAGTGGCTTTACTGGGCCCTGGTGGGGTCTTTGAAGAGACTTGTGGCTTTGGATGAGAGACTTAAGGTCTCTGGGCACCAGTCTCTTCCTGTGAACCTTGAAGGAGATTCTCAGAGGAAAATGGCAGACACCCTGCCTTGCTATCCCACTTCTGTGTTCCACCTTCTCCTCATAACTTGTTTAAGGCAAGCAGAGATATCTCAGTTTTATCGTTCCCACTAATGATCCAACTCAGTGACCCCTTCCTCAGCTCAGGTAATGGAGCTGGAGTAGACCTGAGATAACAAGGATTCACGATAAAGCTGGCACAGTGGTGGGTTACAGGAAATGCTTATTTTTAAGAAGCTGTGGTGACATTTTTGTTGGTGACTTGTTACAAAATACATAGTTAAGTGTCTTTGTGATTGGGGCACTTGGAGTTGGGTCCTTTTACTTGCAGCTGGCTTTGTTTCTTTTTTGGAACTTTGTGGTCATATGAAAATGTATTTGTCATCTGTCAAAAAGCTCTGCGTTGTTCTGTCCA